CTATCAGGTAAGTGATTATAAATCTTTAGGCTGTTGTAAATAATTGATTTTTGTACCAGTGTGGTATGAGGAGTAGGAAGAGGTATAGCATTTATGTTTGTTTGTCGTGTGGTTCGAGATCTCTGGGTAGCTGGAAACAGATGAAGATTTTTATGTATTAGACTAACAGTTTCTAGAATGAACAGTGAGGGGAGAGTTAGGATTTTATGGAGTACAAATAGTGGTCTACAATGAGTTCTTATCGGGGCACATGTAATGAACCTTATCGATCTTTTTTGCAGTTTAAAAACAGAGTCAAACAAGTATTGACTACAACATCCCCAGAAAGGTAAGCCGTATGCAAGATGTGACTCAAACACTGCATGATAGACTGATTTTGCAATTTGTGAACCTAAGTGGGTAGCTACGGCTCGGACACAATAACACCCTGAAGCGAGTTTTTTGCTTAGTGATAAGATATGTGATTGCAATTTTAGACTGACGTCGATCTGAAGTCCAAGAAATTTAGTACTTGTGGTCTGTGGAAGATTTAATTAAGAACTGATCACAAACAATATCATCCATATTACAGCGAAAACCCAGTACTTGAGTCTTGTTAAAGTTAAAAAGAAGCCCATTTGCGTCACACCAGTGTTTAATTTTAACCAGATCTTGAGAAATTATCCGAACCAACTCTCGCGATTCCCCTCCATGCCACAAAACCGTTGCATCATCGGCAAATGCCGCAAATACTCCTGATATGTCTATTTGTAATAGGTGATTAATATAGAGCAAAAACAGGATCGGTCCTAAAACCGAACCCTGTGGTACTCCGTGGTCAATAACCTGGCTAGTGGAACATTCGCCGTTCACCCCGACACACTGAGTGCGGTTGGTTAAGAAGGACTCGAACCAATTTAGGACAACTCCCCTAAAACCGTAAGCTTCCAGCTTTCGCAGCAGTGCTCTGTGACACACACAGTCAAAAGCCTTGGAAAAGTCACAGAATACCGCTGCAGTAGCATAGCCATTATTGTAATGTCTGAAAAGTTGCTCCATTACGTTAAGCATTGCGTCGTGTGTATTTCTTCTGGGAAGAAAGCCAAACTGAGCACCATTGAAGACATCATGGCACATCAGAAAATCCATCATGCGTTTTTTGACAAGTTTTTCAATAATTTTGGATATTGTTGACAATAATGAGATGGGCCGATAGTTTGCAGGATTTTTTGTGTCCCCATTTTTGTGAATTGGAACTACCGTAGCTTTCTTTAGACTTGATGGAAATGATCCCTCCAGAAATGATTTATTTATGGCATAAGACAAAACCTGTAATGCCTGATCAGGGAGGTCACTCAAGATTTTAGCAGATAAGCCATCTGAACCAGCTGCGTTTTTATTTTTAATGGATTTTATTGTCAATTTAAGTTCAGTGGTATTTGTTGGTATAGATGAAAATGAGTCTGGTACGCGTAGATGTTTGACGTATGATAGGGGATCGGTGTCAGATTGGATATCTTTAACTAGGTTCGTTGCAACCGAGCAGTAATGATTGTTCAGAGTGTTCGGTTCAATATCTATATGTTGGGGTTGAGCATTAGTTTTTCCAGTTAAGTCTCGGACAACATTCCAAGTCTCTTTAGAACTATTCGATGAATTTTGTATGCGGTTCCTGTAGAATAGTGTCCTCGCGTCGTGTATTAGTTTTCTGTAGTGTTTACGATAGAGAAGGTAGTAGTTATAAATAAAGGCATCATTGTTAAAATGTTTTCTAATGATATTTAGAGACCTTAGATTTTCCGCGGATCTTCTCAGACCGTTAGTAATCCAGTATTTTTGATTATTTCTTTTTCGCAGCGGGCGGAGAGGAAATGATTTATTTACAATTTCAGTAAGTGTCAGATGAAAGGACTGAAGCGGGTCTTTCGTAGTATATGTGTTATTCCAGTCAGCAGTACTGCACATTTGCCTAAAGTGAGTGAAGTTTCTTTTACTGAAAATCCTCCCGCGATTTTTATGAGTTGTGGCTTTGGTTGAAAGTGGAAAAGAAGCTAATACAGCTTGATGATCAGCCAGCGCAGGATCGTCTGTATAGCAGTCAACTTCAACTTCACTATCCAGATTAGAGCATACATAGTCTATGGTTGTGGAAGAATTGTTTGGGATTCGTGTGGGTTCTTTAACATGCATCTTAAGGTTAAAAGATTCTAGAAGACCAGTGAGCAAAATAGTAGATTGTGCTTCTGGATCTCCGAAATCGATGTTGAGGTCGCCAGCAATTATGAGTTTGGTTTTTATTGTAATGTTGGATAATAAAATTTCAAAATTTTCAATAAAATTGGCAATGTTGGTGTTTGGAGCGCGGTAAATGCATATGACATAGGTATCTAAGGATTTGGAATAAAGCAGGGAGAATTCAAAGATCTTCTCGATTATAAGAAAATCGTACTTGCTGCAGTTACAGAAGTCACTGTTCTCAGCCAATTCAACACTTATCAGAATACCAGTGCCCCCATGTTCAAATTCATTTCTGCAAAATTTCGACAATGTATAGTAATTTGGGATAGATAGTGGTTCGGAATCTTTTAGCCAGTGTTCAGTAAGCAAGACTATATGAGGAAAATTTTTACTTTCTAGATAAATAAATAAATCGTTTGTTTTATTTCTAGCCGACTGGATGTTAAGAAGCATAAGATTTATGGAGTTTGGTTTTTGGGACAAGGGGGATCTTTTATTTGGTCTAGTTTCTTCCCTAAAAAGTGGCCGTAACTTTCTTATTTTAAATGAGACGCCAGGTATATTTTCCCTTATTTCAATAGAAAACTACATTACGAGTACAATGACACCTCATTTGTTACTTTTTGACATTTCATCTCTAAATTATTTAAATTTTCACTTTTTAATCTAGAGCGCGATGAATTAGTTAAAATGCTCAATTTTGCTCCAAGGAACCTGGAAAAATTTGTTTTGATCTTATTTTGTATTTTATATCCTCAACAGACTCAGTTAAAGATAATAAAAGCGCATTTTTGTAATTATCTCAATTTTTTCAAATGGAAAGGGTGTGGCTCATTACAATATTCCAAAAGAGCGTTTTCTAACGAGCAATTCAATACCACACAATCGCTAGTTCATCTCTCAAATGAAGAATTTTCCTAGCATTCTAAATATTTTTGGAAAATTTTAGTTTAATATTTGAATAAACTAGCGATTGTGTGGTACTAAATTGTTCGTTAGAAAATGCTCTCTCGGAATATGCTAATGAGCCATACCCTTTCCATTTGAAAAAATTGATATAATTCCAAAAATGCGCTTCTACTAGCTTTAAATGAGTCTGTTGAGGATATAAAATACAAAATAAGATCAAAACAAATTTTCCCAGATTCCTTGAAGCAAAATTGAGCATTTTAACTAATTCATGGCGCTCTAGATTGAAAAGTAAAAGTTTAAATAATTTGGAGATGAAATGTCAAAAAGTGACAAATGAGGTGTCATTGTACTCATAATGTAGTTTTCTATTGAAATAAGGGAAAATATACCTGACATCTTATTTGAAATAAGAAAGTTACGGTCACTTCCGGTGAAACCGGAAGTGATAATAAATAATTGAATACGTCAAATAATGCACATTCGGGTCATAAATAAACACACCAAATTTCATTTGTTTACTTGGAAAAATAAAAAAGTTATAGGGGTGAGCGGGTTTTGAAAAACACCCGGTATAGTTTCAGAAATAAAATCGAGTTGAGCGATTTGAGGTAAATTTATCATTTTTCAATTTTTCTGACATTTCCTTGGATTTGATAAAAACTGTCCTGTTTTTGGGGGGCAAAATTCATCCAATTTTTCAAGAATGTGCAGAAGAAACTTGTTGAATCAACCTTTCTCTGAACAAAAAATTTGGTTTATACGTAAAACTGGCAGTATATAGATGTCTACCTGAAAAATTCTAGTAAGAGATGAGGTGTTTTAGAAAAAAAAAATTAAAGCATTTTGTTAATCCTCATTCAACGCTGATAACAAAAAAAAAAAAACTTCCTATAAATAAATATTTATTCTGGTCCACTGGCAAACAGCCTGTAAATCCAGATTTGGATGTCAAATAATACCTAAAATTTTCCAAGAATACATACATTATCTATATTGCCCAAGAACAACACTCTGACCTCTTATGTGCTCTTCTTGAAAGCTATTTTGTATTTCAGGCATGATTGATGTCATCTGCTTTGGCTTTGGAATTTAACTAAGAACTAAATATAGACATTGACTATGCAAACCAAGGTTGGGCAATTTCAAACAATTCAGTAATGAATGATCAATAAGAATTAATTAGGATTTTTAAAAGGATTGATTACCGAATAATATAGAAAAATAGTGAATAGTTGGGTCAGCATTTTTCATGCTGAAGCAAATGGCTGCTACTTGAGCCCAATTATATAGGAATTTGAAAAATTGCTTTTCAGTAATTACTTTTTAAATAATGTTTAACATATGTTGATAAGCAATAATTTGCGTACCTATACACGTTTTGAAATTATATGTAGATAAGTATGTATATTGAAATATCGCACAATGCTTATTGTTGATTACAAATTAAACAAATGTGTATTTGTCCAAAATCCAAAACCAAGAAATTTTCAACAATAAATAAAAACATATATTACAAATTTGCCTTATTCAACATCATCAAATAATTAAAACTATGTGAAGAAATTTACATTGATTCACAGCGATTAATACTTACCTAAAAATTTTTGTACATTTTTTCAATAAACTATAATAAGTAAAATTCAATAATGCATTATTACACAAAATTTGACTATAATTCACAGGCAATATTTGCACACAAGAACCATATACATAATACTAGTAGAAGAATTGAATAGAACTGCAATTATAGTATGGCATGGCACTACAAAAAGTAGCTAAAGTTGCATATATACTGAACACAGCTATCACGAACCCTCTGCACCAAAACAAACATCACATACCCTGTTGACCCAATAAAAGTAAGCCATATACTATACAATTCCGCTAGATTTTTCATTATTCAATGGAGCATAATTACCACCTGCAGGCTCCTTTTTCCTAAACGTTACATAAGTATAAACCAAACTACCTAAAACGCTAATATTTAGCCCTACAAAGTTAAGCATTGAAAAAACATAGTCTCCCCCTATCATCATTCCAAGATAAGTTACACAAATGTTTTTAAGACAACCAATAATGGTTGTTGTTAAAGCTGAATTATACATAGTACATAAAATTATGCTGTACATTAAAACAAATCCCATTACACAGGACAAAACAAATTGAACCAAAAATATAGGATCTTGCCAGCCTTCATAATTATTAGCAGCCTCTAAATCACCACTATAAAAAGCTGAAAATAAAGCTGGTATAATCATAAACAACGAATTGTAATACATCAGTCCATATTTGCCTAATTCTTTGGAATCTAGCTTCTTCTTAGTATACACCCCATTAATAGCAGTAAAAAAGTCATTCAACAAAACAAAAATATAGCCTTGCAAATTAAAGGCTAAATCGTCACTAGCTGCTAGCACTGCACCTCCTACCATCATGTAAACACTAAATTGTACACTAAAAGCAGGCCTAATGCTTAGAATATACAGCTCCAAAATCATTGTCATTAAAATTGAGAATCTCCTAAGAGCTGTGAACATTGGTAATGACAATTCCTTGGTGCCTCCAAGTCCAAAAATCATATTCCCAATATAGATAAGTGGCAATGGGAAGATTTTACTTGGCGTACTCAAATCGAAACTAGGAAAACTCACTATTCTAAGCTTCTTTGCTAAAAAAAGTACTACGATGGTTGCTGCCATTTGGCCGATACCCAACACTTGAAACGAGGGAAACTTGTAGGTGGTCAACACTGTTTTGTTGACTACTGTTATCATAAATGAGGCTACTGCATAGAAAACTGCCGAGAGGATTTTCTTGAGGAACAGCTTAGGGTCTGCGGCCTCATCTTGGTGGGCTGTAGTCATTTTTTTGTGCTTAAAGTCACGAAACCACACAAAAACTGAACATCTTATTGGAAAAAAAACCGACACGTACTCAGGTCAGAAAAGATTAATTGACGCAATTGTGGAGCTTAAAAAGGATCAAATTTGAACAATTTCAATGCTTTTGTGTTGTTATCTTTTTATGACCTGGGATTTCTGTGGGAGGAGGTTATTGTTTATTACATAGGAGAATTTTTATGGTAAAGACTAGTGGGGACATCTATGGACTGTTTTAGTAAAAAGCGTATTCTTTTGCTTGTCATGTGATTAAACTCATCTCTGTAGTTGAAAATTGAAAAAACAACAAGTTTTTTGTTATTAATTAATAAATTAATCATTCAATTGCAATAACCATGATTAGATCTTGTTTTTTTTTTTAAGTTAACATAACCTAACCAAACAAAACTTACATTATTTATCTCTGTGTTTTGATCCATTTTTGCAAGATCTTGTTTATTTAAATATTTGAACTATTTTCTTCGTCGTTTTCCTATTTTCCTTACATTTTCACACTTTTCACCAACGTTTCTGTAAAATAATAATTTCCCTTTTCAAATAAATACAAACCAAAATAATAAAAATAAACAAAAAGAAAATGTCAAAATAAAATGTCATTGGTGTACTACAGGAAACTGTAATTAAACTGCTGTTTGAATAGTAGAGATGGATATTCTTTCTTTTTTTCCATATCGATATTACTATAAGAAAATATCGATACGATATTTTTAATAAATTAGCATGACCGTGACCAAATCCAGTAAAGAACTGCTCTCAGTTTTCATAATTAATTATTTTATTTTAAGAGCCAGTACTCGGTTTTTATAAAAAAATATTGTCTATCAATTCTGCTCAAATTTCTTCTCTCTATTTCTCAATTTTTTCGATTTTCCCAAATCAATTTTTGTCTATTTTCGGCTCTTGAATTTGTCGAAATCAAAACAATTCAAGAGCCTGAACTAGAATAGAAAAAAAACATGAACGAGAATCAGAATCAATGTTTGTCTATTCCCGGCTCCTCAATTTTCGTTCTCTTCTATATTTCTCTAAATAGAGGAAAAGCTTTATTAGGATAGATTGGACAGAAAAATACGAATGTTCACTTATCTCAAGGATAATATACTTACACTACTACAGGATTGCTCAACGGTCTCGATCTTTGAACTCAAGGTCATATGGTGTTGTATCGTTCACCGTTGTTGACGTCATTAACGGTGTCGTTAGCTGTTTGCGCCAAAAGTTCGTATCTTGGAATATACAATGATGAAAAATATTATTTAATTTTGATTTAAATAATAGGCAGACAGGAAGATGCAAACGGTATGAAAAAGGGTCGTTTCCAATATATTTATATGGAAAACGCCGCCATTTTGTGCCCAACCACTTACTACTTTTAGATGTGAATGTGTGGGATTTGAGTGGACATCCATCATGGAACATTGAAAGAAACGTATCCGATGACAATATGGTCTGTTTCTCGAGAAATCAAAAACCAGTCACAATGAATTTCATTGGTTGAAACTAGTTTTCTGACTGTTTCTGACTGTTTTTAACCAATTAAATTCGCTCTGACTGGTTTGTGATTTCTGCAGAAACAGGCCTTATAATTAGGCACATCGAATCTTAGAGCATTGAATTCCTTATACCGCCATTTTTTTGGTGCCAAAATACCTGGAAAAAAACAGCTTCATTTTCCAACTCTATGTTACTACTCCTCTTTACCTTTACCTGCTCTAAGCATCAAATCCTATTATTCGTGTTTGAAGGTGGCAAGAGGTTTATTTAGCCACTGTAGATAAAACCAACTTAGAAGAAGCCACCGCAGTGGCGTATCCAGCCTGAAGCTCTGGGGGGGGGGGGGGGTAGACCATATGCCAAGATCAAACATTTTTCAGGTGCCACGCCCAAAAGTCCTTAAAATCGCACGTCTTGATGGCATATTCGCGCGCTTCTTATACTTTTATAGGTCAAAAAATATATTTTTACCGAAAAATATGGTAGTGCGTAAACTTTGGTAGTGCCATGGTTCCGGGTTCCGTATTATTAGCCTGCAAGCCGCTATTGAAAAAATGCTTGGGCTGCTCATTGAAACAATAAGAGGTTGATAGCTGAAATTATTTATTTATTTCGACTTTCAAGAAACAAGTAAACATATAACACAAAATACAAAACCAAACTAAAGTTAACTTCAAAGGTGTGTAAATACATAAGGTTTGTTGTTTATGTGTTGTTCGGACTCGGAGCAGCACTTCCTGCTTTGGGGCGTTCGTTTGTGTTATGTTATTATAGGTATATCTGCCATATAATCCACCGCGTGATCTTTATTCTCAGGGATTCTTGTTAATTGGTTCTAACGGAAACAGCCTATGGTGCAAACACCGTAATCCAAATCGAGAAACGACACGCTGCCTACGTCATCACTGGTACTTTGGCGGGGTGGGGATCTTGAGATTTGATCTACACATGCCTTATGAGGATAGGCTATCCTGGGTAGTGTACTATATCCTTGCATTTATCTATCAATTTTTCTTACTTATTCTCTCTATTTCTCAATTTTTGTTTATTCCCGGCTATTGAACAGGGGCGTCGCGTCGGGGGGGGGGGGGGGGAGGGGGGAGGGGGGGTAATGGGGATACCCCCCAGGATCGAATTATCAAGAGAAAAATCAGGATGCCCAAAAGAAAATACATAATATATCGAAGAAAATACATTTTTGTTTTGTTTTATTTTTCTCACAAAGGAAATATTTGTTCTGGAAAAGTGAATGACCTTGAAATTTGTGAAAAATTTAGCCTGCGGCGCGATTTTGGGGGGCGTCCCCTCAACACCCCCATACCATTTATCCCCCCTCCCCTAGACTGCTGGTCACGCGTCGCCACTGCTATTGAATTTCTTGAAAAAAAAAACAAGTTCCTGGAATAGAAAAAATACGAATGTCCACTTATCTACCAATTTTTCTCAATTGTTCTCACATTTATTCTCTATAATTCTCAATTTTTCTATGTTAGTTTTTGTTTATTCCCGGCTCTTGAATTTATCGAAATAAAAGAAAATTCAAGAGCATGGAACAAGAAAAACATGAATGTTCACTCATCTACCATTTTTTTCTCACGTTTCTCCTCTATCTCTCAATTCTACTGTCTCAATTTTCATCTATTCCTGGCTCTCGAATTTTCGTTTTCTTCTCAATTTTTTCTAAACAGAGAAAATCAAGAAGTTAGAATAGAAACGCGGAAATACTTTCTGTTTCCCAATCTTTTCTCAATTTCTCTTGAATTTTCTCTCTCTATTTTTCAACTTTTCCAGTTCAATTTTTGTCTATTCCTGGCTCTTGAATTGATTGAAATAGATAAAATTGAAGAACTTGGAATAAAAAAACCTGAACGTCCTTTTTTCTAAAATTTTCTTGAATATCGTTTCTTTTTCCCTCAATTTTTCCCGTTTCAATTTTTGTTTATTACCGGCTTTTGGAATAGGGAACTTGCACATTTTTTTTTTTTATTTCAAAAATGTGTTCTACTATACTAAAAACATAGTCATGCCAAATATCAAGCATTAAAAATCAGCCGGTAATTTTTTATAAATATTTGAAGTTACGCTCGAAACATCGCCATTTGAAACGACCGATTAGTGTGACGTCACTCGGCAACAAAATTCCGATGACAGTGACGAGCACTTCGAACTTCGAGCAGGTAGATTAAGATTATGGTTATGTTGTTATGTATGTAGTTTTATGGCGTTTCCGATTGGTAGATTCAGTGCGCACTGAGTGTATTTGCATCCTTTTATTCGACCTGCGGAAGAAAAAGATAGAAATAGAAAAAATTGCACTAGTTCCGCACTAGATCTACCAATCGGAAACGCCATAAGATTTGACATTGGCAACACCAGCAGCACATGACGTGGCAGCGGCGCGACCCGATTATTACTGCCTTGTGACGTCACGACCCATAGAAACACGTTTTTGATCGCGTCATGAATTTCGAATTATTTGGTATTTTCAATTGACGATTTCGGACACCAGAGATAAGATATTATATTTTTTTCTTAACTGCATCATTTATTAGGATGTTTATTATTGTGTTTTATTATTTATTCCATATTTAATTTAATGTGCAAGTTCCCTATTGTCGGGATAAAGAAAATTCAAGACCCTGGGACAATTCGGCAGACCTAGATGGACTGTTACGTCACCCGCAGACCTAGAAGGATTGCTCGCGATTCAGGCACAGGCTGTGCTTGTAGTCGATTTTAAATTGGTGCGTACGATAAGTCCGAACTATTGACACTTTTTACCCTGACCCCCTCATTATGTCGCACTTTTTACACCATTCGTACCATTCGGTTGCGTTCCAAAACATAACTGCACCGCACTAACGCTAACCGGTTCAGACAAATCGTACGCACCAAATATAGAAGAGGTAATTTTAACGTTTAGGAATTCGTTTTGTGACCTTGAAGGCCGGTTTCTCAATATCGAGTCACCTCCACACTGTTACCTCCGGGTTGGGTTTTAACTCCAGAGTAAGTATATCCGGTTGCTATGTTTATCCTGGAGTTATGCTTAAAGCTTACTTTTCATACATCCATTTTCTGTCAAAAAGGTAAGTAAGCCTAACCCGGGGGGCATATTCATTTTTTGCCAACGCAACTGATATTCGGCTAGATTCGTGCCCTGCGCCGTGAAGCGTTAGCAGAATATGAGCATCGCAACTAGACGTTGGCACTTCATGTGACTATGTTATAAGCATTCTATTGATAATTAGGTCCGATAACTGTTTTTTATTCAAAGGAAGGGAAGATAAAAATGATTGAAATTTTATTTATACCTATGGAAATCAGCAAAATGTCGAAAATATGAAAAGTTCAAAATACAATAGATCTTTTTTCCCTTTTGGTTCTACATATTTATTTTTTTGTAAAATAAAAGAATAAAATGAATGTTCAGCTGAACTCTCGGCTGAACTGTGTTTCTGTCGTACAAC